ACAGACCCCAAAACAGAACCACCCAGATGAGCATCCTCAAAGTCATGACCCACAGAAATTGTGTTAAAAAATAAATGTTTGCTGTTTTAAACTAAGTTTTGAGGTGATTTGTTACATAAAAATAAGTAACTAAAAAACCCATCAAATAGCTTTCTATTCAGTCTTTAGCTTTTTAATTTGTATCATGCACAGTTTTGTCAGATGTTGGTTGTATCTTCAGAAGAATGAATATCCAAGAGATTTATTTAGGTTCTTGAATTGAATTTTAAAATTTTTGAACCAATTTTGGCATTGACTTAACTGATTTCTTTTGACATATCTGATGACATTGATACAAAAACTACATCATTTAACTACAAAGTTCTGCTAATGAAACACACTAACAATGATAGTTTTGCTTTCATGTGTGAAACAACAATTGGAACAGAAAATCAATGAAATTACTTTAGAATAACTTGATTTAAATGAAAAGCCATGCTTCAGAATGATACATAAGTTCAGTTTTTGCAGTAGCATATAATAAAATCATTGTCTTTGAACAGTCACTTTAAAATAATTATAAATTTTTAAAGTAGACAGATGGGGCAGCTTATATAGCAGATTTGCTGAGTTCTGATATCTCCCTGTCTCCCATGATTATTTGTTTATTTTATTTATTTAGTTTTATTTTTTAATATCAGCTTAAATATTTCATAGTTCAGTTAGTATAAAGTGTGTGTGCAAATTAACTACAGGGCTATTTGGTAGAATATCCCAGTATGGATGCCGTCATAAATTATACAGTCACTGCAACCAATTTCAAAGTAATTTCTGCTTCATAGCTTTCTTAAATCAGAAAGAACAACTGTGCCCCACCAGAAGCTGTATGTGCATTATCTCCACCATGAGGATTTTAAGGTATGTCGGCAAATTCTTTGATACTCCTCCCTTCAAAAGATGGAGCCTACCTTCCACCCCTTGAATATGAGCTGGACTAAGTGATTCACTTCCAAGAATGAGAGTGTGCAAAGGAAAAACAGTTACCACGACAAGGTAGAAATAATAACCACAATGAAGTACATGTAGGAATTTATTCCAAAAAGTGAAAATAAAAATTAAAGCCAAAATACTTCCTATATTTTTTTAAACAACAAAAAATTTAAACACTCAATTTTAGATAAATGAGTCAAATTAACAGTCATATTGAAAATTCTGAAATGAAAAAGTACCACTTAGCAATACTTGTGGAAAATGGTTCAAGTAACAAGAGAGATACATCCCTCAAATGCATCTATCAGAAAACAAAAAATATAGAAAATCAATGAATAACAAGAAGTTACAAAAAGAATTAGAATAAACCATCACAAAGTATAAAGAAATAGTGGAAAAATTAACTGAACAAAGCAAAAGAATGAGTGGTTAAACAAAACAAAAACCTGTTCTCTGGAAAGATTAATTAGATAAATCTTCAGTTAGGTTGATCAAGAAAACAAAGATACACAGCACAAATAAATAATATTAAGGATGAAAAGATCATACTTGCAAATACAGTATAAATACTGAAAATAATAAGAAAATACTATGAATAGCTTTATACCAATACTTTTGAAAACAGATGAAATGAATAATGTTCTAAGAAAATAAAAATTACTAACTTGTGAAAAAATAGAACATCTTAAAGAGTCTACAACTATTAAAGAAACCATTCCACTTCAGAAAATAAAAGCACCAGGCCCAGGTAATTTTACCAGTGAGTTTTACCAAACATTCAAGGATCCTAACTCATTTATATTAGTTACTATATCACTAATATACTAGTATATCATTGATACCAAAACCAAACAGAAACAACATAAGAAAATTATAGGTTAATCTCACTTATGAATATAAATACAGTACAAGAAAGATTATCTTAGGGTGATTTCATTTGTAAACAAAGGTGCAAAATTTGAAAAAAAAAATCTTTAAAATCCACACATATATTACTAGTAATAATAGTATTGATCTTGACCATGTAAGGTTTATCCCAAGAATGCAAGGATGGCTCAACATTAGAAAATCTATTTAGGTAATGACCACAAGGATGGGGGAGGGGGGAAAACTTGTCATTTAATTAGATGTAGAAAAACTATTTGCTTAAACTCACCATCCATTCAGGACTTAAAAATATAAGCAAATAATAAACCTCCTAATACAGAGTATGTACCTCAAAACTATAAATATGTATCACATTTAGTACTTAAAATATTCTATTTAAGAGTCAATCAAAAAACAAGGAAGTTTGCTTACTGAGAAGTCTTGTCTGCATAGTGAGATGAGAAAACAAGATGTGAAATTCTATAGGACTGGCCTCAGAACTACTGCCTTTTGTGTTA